AACTACTGGGGCTCACAGCGCTGAAGGACTCGGGAGCAGACATCTCTAATTCAGGCAGGGTCAAATGTGGACACGCTGAGGCTCACAGAGCTGAAGGACTTGTGCTCAGATATCGCCAATGCAGGTCGGTCAAACAGGAAATACTGGGGCCCACAGTGCTGAAGTACTCATGCTCAGTCATCGCCAATGTTGTTGTTAGGTGCCATCAAATCACCTATAACTTACAACCCGATATACAAGAGCTTTTGAAGCCTGCCTTGTTCTGAGCCAGTCTCCTGACTCTGATACACCTGCCCCCATCCCCTTAGTTACTGTATCTCATCCTCCTCTTCCCCGCTGTTCCTCCACCCTTTCAAGCATGATGTCCTTCTCTAAGGATAACTCCCTTCCAGCCACATGCCCAAAGTATGTGACATGAAGTTTAAAAATCCTAGTCTCCAAAGAGAAACTTGGCTTTACTCTCTCCTATTTGTTTTCTTGGCAGCTTGGTATGTTCAAGACTTTTTTCCAGCACCATAACTCAAAGCCATCAATTTTTCTTCTGTCATCCTTAGTCACTGTCCAGCTTTTTGACGCACAGCAAGTTATTGTGTGGAGACCATGGCCTGGATCAGGAGCACCTCAGTCTCTAGACTGACATCATTACTTCTCAGTACTCTGAAGAGGTCCCTGACCGCAGTTTTACATAATACAATTTGTCTTTTGATTTCCTGACTGCTGGTGCCAAGAGTGTTGATTGTGGAGCTGAGCAAGTTATAACTGTTAACAACCTCAATCTCTTCTCCATCCATCATGGGGCTGCCAGTTGGTCCAGTGGTGAGAATCTTTGTCTTCTCGATGTTGAATTTCAAGCCATAAATACTCTCCAGGGTCAAAACACTGAAATACAAGAGACTGGGAGACACAACACTCACAGGAGACCCGAACCACCTTCTAGGGACTGTCCTCTGGTCCCTCTGAAGCTACATCCCCCAAATCCATCTGAGACAAACCAGAGTGGCGGGGTTCACAAGGCTGGGGCGTCGCTAACACTTTGCTCTCAGAGGCCTCCAACTTTGCAGACACCCTCACGAAGAGTTTTCCTTTCATTGGAGAAAAGGAAATTCAAAGGAAGTAATCAATAGTCAAGTAAACATTTTTAAAGCACATGTTCATGGCTCCATAAAGCTTGTGTCCATTTTAGTTTGATGAACATTTGGTACATTTCTGTGACACACATGAGGGACTGAGAAGGGATTCCCCACTGATGAGGATAAATGATGGGTGTAGAGGTCTGCCGCTCCCTAAAAGCAATCCCTGGCTCCCCACCTGAGAGTCTGAAGGAGCTGTGGAGGAGGGGTACAGCATCAGCATTTTCAAGAAGCTCCCCAAGGGATGGCATGTACAGCTACAGTTGGGCTCAGAACTTCCTGTGGCCACATGGACACTCTGAATCAAAGAGAGATGAAGGTTTTAGGTGTTGGGAATCGAGGGTGGGTTTCCAGCCAGAAAGGAAGGACGGTGATGGTTATAGTGCTGAGGGCGCCTTTGGACTGTGCTGTACACAGCACACTGGGATTTAGAAACACAGGAGCCTGGGAAGAGGCCACGTCGATGGTCCACCGTCTGAGGAAAACAGGCCTCCCCTAAGAGGCGGCCTTGGGAATGGGCGGAAGGGGGTGCACGCCGTGGAAAGGATGGCTCAGCAGTTTCAGGGCTGTCTGTGGCCGGGGTAACAGCCCTGCACTTCCAGAGACCTGCTGGAAAGAGGGAAATGAGCAGGGAAGTGTTCGTCTCTGTCGTAAGCCACATGGTCCACATCCTGACCTAAACAGTAACTGTGGAAGAAAGGACTGACTGTAGCGTGGGTTGTTGTTGTTGTTATGTGCCATCGAGTCGTTTCCGACTCATAGCGACCCTATGCACAACAGCTCTAAACCCTGCTCTATCCTGCGCCAACCGCACCGCCTCTGACACACCCATCCCGATTACCCCAGTCACCGAATCAATCCATCTCATAGAGGGTCTTCCCCTCCCGCGCTGTCCCTCCACCCTCCCAAGCATGATGTCCCTCTCCAAGGACCCGTCCCTCCTGGCAACATGTCCAAAGTATGTCAGACGAAGCCCCAGAATCCTTGCCTCCAAGGAGCAGCTTGGTTTAATCCTCTCCAAGATGGATCTGTTTGTTTTCCTGGCAGTCCATGGTACATTCAGTACCCTTCTCCAGCACCACAGCTCAAAAGCATCCACTCTCCTTCTGTCCTCCCTAGTCATTGTCCAACTCTCTGATGCATAACAAGCGATTGCAAATACCATGACCTGTATCAGGCGCACCTTAGTCTCCAGAGAGACACTGTTGCTCCTGAGTACGTTTGAGAGGTCCCTAACGGCAGACTTTCCCATCGCGATATGCTTTTTGATTTCCTGACTGCTGGTACCAAGAGTGTTAACTGTGGAGCCGAGCAAAGTGAAGCTGTGAACACTCTCAATCTCTTCATCATCCATCCTGACGCTGCCAATTGGTCCAGTGGCGAGAATCTTTGTCTTCTTGACGCTGAGCCTCAGTCCATACTGAAGGCTGCAGTCCTTGACCCTTCGCAGCAAGTGCATGAGGTCCTCCTCAGTTTCAGCAAGCAAGGTTGTGTCATCTGCATAACGGAGATTGATAGATCTTCCACCAATCCTGATGCCACAATTCTCCTCATAGAGCCCAGCCTCTCGGATAATCTGCTCTGCATACATGTTGAAAAGGTATGGAGACAGGATGCATCCCTGGCGTACACCCTTCCCTATTTTGAACCATGTAGTGTTGCCCTGCTCTGTTCTGATGACTGCCTCTTGGTCCAAGTATAGGTTTCGTATCAAGTAAAAAAGTCACTCATCGCTGTGGAGTCAGATCAACTCACAGCTGACCCTCCACAGGGTTTTCAAAAGCTGTAAATTGCATGGGAGGAAAATGCCCATCTTTCCCCCTCAGAGCAGCTGGTGGATTTGAACCATCTACCCTGACTGCTGAGTGAGGAGGATTTGAAATGCTTGCTGTAGAAAAGATCAAAGACGACAGCCTACAAGATAGATCACATCTCAACATCAAAGACAAATATTCTCAACAGCAGACGGATAAACATGATGGTAGATGGGAAAAAAGATTGCAGTGGTCACTGACTTCATCTTACCAGGATCCACAGGGATGTACTGCACTGGGAAAATGTGCAGTCAGGGACCCTGCCGTTTGAGACTAAAGTGCACCTGATTCAGGCCACGGTCTCATCGATATCACTTGCTGTGCATATGAAACCTGGACAATGAGTAAGGATGGCAAATGAAACCAAGAGTTGAAGTCTTTGAACAGTGGAGTTGGAGAAGGGTACTTACATGGACTGCCAAAAGAACAAACAGGTGTTAAGAGGAAGTGCAGCCAGAATGCTTCTTGGAGGCAAGGATGGTGAAACTTGATTTCTCATTCATAGGACATACTGCTAGGAGAGGCGAATTCCTTGGAAAGGGTCATCGCGCTTGGAAAGGTGGGGGAGGGTCAATGAATGACAGGAAGACCCTCAGTGAGATGGACTGACAGGGTGACTGTAACAGTGGGCTCAAGGTGTCAGAGACGGTGAGGATGGCGCAGGACAGGGCAGGGGTCAGGCCTGTTGTTCACAGCGTCACCACGTACTTGACTCGGCAGCTCCTAACAACAGCAACACACAATTTTGGACTGACAGTGCAATGCTTTACCCACCAGGCCACCTGAGGTCCCTTGGGAGCTAAGAATTTCAGAAAAGAAAAAGAATACAGGACAGCTGGAGCCTTTACGGGGGAATGTGCAAAGATCACTCAAACGTAAGCAGCAAGATCAAACAGAGTCAAGAGACACAATTTTAAAACAAAGCCAGACTTCACATACTCAGAGATCTTTGGCACCTCCTCTCAATTCTAAGTCCTACCTGGTACAGGACTTTCTTCCCTTCCCCACAAGCATCCCAAACAGCACTGCCGTTTCTCAGCTCGGCTCACAGAAAGGAAGGCGTAGACTCAGTGGCAGCTACAAACACCTTACTGGGGGGAGTCCACGTCAGAAATGAAAAGTCAACAAGAGAAAATGAAGCAGGGTGGCTGCGGCATGTTCTCATTTATTTGGAGTGTAACTTGGCACTCCAGATAAAATCTAATTATCCTGAGCTGAAAGCTTTCAGGGTGTAAGGGAGAAGGGGATGGGATGACCCACTTGAGACGGCACCAGAAGAACAGAGATGACCTCACACCCTGGAAGGTGGCCACAGGCAGAGAAAAAACACTGAATAATTAAAAGGGAGCGGGGATACACCTTGACCGCCAGCGTGGCTCATGCTGCCCACTTCTCCCCCAGCTCAGCCCAGCCGACCAGGCCTTGGATTTAACCCGCTTACTCAATGCTCGAGTCAACTCATCACTTTCAAGGAGACACAGAAAAATAAGTTAATTGTTATTTTTATTGTAGAGGAAAAAAAATATCCTAAAGTATCTGTTAAATAACAATTCTTAACAAAATAGCTCTCAGCATCTGCTGGCCTCACGTGGGGTCAGATAGAGCGAGTGGTCACGTGCTGAGCCCACAAACGTCCCCACAAACCACAGGGAACCCCAAAACCTCCGACATGGCTTCCGAAATTCTGCATAGTTGCCCTTATTTGATCCAAAGGTGAACAGTATCCAAGCTGGCAGAGAAATTAGGACAGCTAAAAAGAAAAAGGTTATCCACTGGTGGCTTCAGAACAAAGGGCAGGCGGGAATTCACTGTAACGTCCTTTCAACTTTTCTTAGTGTTTGAAATTTGAGTTACAGGCAGACTGAAAAAGCTGCTTGCATGTAGTTCATGCTTTCCCCCAGATCTGCCTAAAAAATACTCTGGATTTTTTTGTTGTTTTTCAAATCAGAAATAGAAAATCAGTTCTTCCCAAGTGATGTCTGATTTCTGTTCTGTCTGAAAAAGGCCTCAAGGCAATCTTAAACCACAGGGCACAGTACACTGATGCGGTTAACAGTTCCTGGGAGATGTCCGGTTCAAAAGCTCATCGCAGGTCCGTGATGGTCACTGGTCTGTCCACAACCGTCACGTGGCTGCAGCTCTGTGACGGGGGAAAAGGAAGACAGGTGAAGCCCTGGGGAAATTCTGGAAGGTTATTTAAAACCGTCCTCATTTAGAGCAGTCACTGTGGGAACGGGGACCCACGCCGGGAGCCAGACTCTCGAGAGGCAGCAACTGTTAGGGGACGTGCCCCAGGCTCTCAGTGGTCCCTCATGCAGACTGATCACATCCAGGACTACTCGAGAGATATCCGTAAAACTCAGTCACCCAGAACGGACGAGCTCTGAGCTTAGTCACTACACAGAGAATGGAGGCACCTGCCCTCACACAGGGTGGCTGACTCCACGCCTACACGGGCGCCTTGTCAACGGGAGCCTGGGCACCACCATCCCACACTTCCTTCTAACTGGGCAGCTTCTGTCTCCACGTCCCGGTACAGGACTTCATGACCCCCCAAAGCCAAACCACCCATTTTATGACACACTAGTCAGAAAGCTCTTGCTCACATCCTGCCGATCACTGCCACTCTGCAGGGACTCGCGCTGCCTTTGGAATCATGTAAAGGACACTTGGTGCCTTTTTACACCTGCAGTCAGCACTCAGGGCCCCTGCTGGGGCTCCTCTCCTACACATCCCCTCTATCCCAGCTCCTCTTTGGAGACAAGGTTGCATGCTGGCCACTTGGTCCTGAACTTGGAATGTTAACATGAAGGCCTGAACAGTCTGGAGGAGAGGAAGCCCAGCCCCTCCGCAGTCATGGTACATGTGAGACACAGGTTCTAGGCACTAACGCTTCTTGTTCACAGAGCACAGCTCACACACTGAGACAACTTCCCAGGAAGGGCCCCTCTGACCTCACCGCACTGCTGGAATCAAACAAGCTTCCCCTGTCTCTCTTTATTCTGGAGGTAAAGGGAGCCACTGTGAAGTGCGGGATTCGGTGGTGCATTCACAACACCACGCGGCCACCACCCCGTCACTGCCCATCCTCACCACCCCAGCCCCCGGGGAGCACTAGTCTGCTCCCAGGAACTCACTTTCCGGGGTGCTGGGTTTACATGGTGATGTAACTTGGTGTGTCTGCCGTCTTTCACTTAGTGTGATGGCGCCGGGACATACACACAGCAGCACTTGTCGGCCCCTCACTGCGTTCTACGGCTGAACTTGACTCATCTGAAGGAGCTCTGTCTTTGACATCTGAATGTCATTCTCAACTCCAAGCCCGGCAGCTGATACAGAAACTAACGTTTCAGAAACCAGGCTGTGTGCGAGGCAGTCTCTGTACATTGTTTAAAGCTGCTATGACCGTGACCCTCGCTTCCTGGATGAACTAAGGAGGTTGAGCAAAGGTTTCCAGCCTTACGTGACTGGGCTAACCCTGGGCCCCTCCCAGCCCACACCACTCCCCCACGTGTGCCTTTGTCTGGGGGTTCTGGGAAGGGGTGTGACACGGCTCATCCAGGTGGAGGGTGAGACTTCTCATCAGGCCCAGTGGTCTCCCTGCTGCCCTGCTCGAAGCAGCCTCCACAGAGACACTTACACAGAACAGAGGCGGATCCTTGCTGTGGGGATGGAATCCTTTCTGGCGACAGGAAGAAATCTCCTCCAGTCCATGGTCAGTTAGTTTAAAGAAGCCGGTTCTGAAACAAGAACACAGAGGCCCAAGTCAAGCAAAGATCTCTCTCAAACACACCCACCCCTGCCTGGGACACCGGCCTCTGTCCACAATGGTGCAAACCTCAGACACTCTTCCACGCTGGTCACTTTCCTCTGAACTCAGAATGACTAACATGGAGGGAGTGTGGCCAGCAAGACACAAGGCAAGGGCCCTCTCGTTCTCTTTGAGGGCAGCAGTAACCCATCATTGTAACAGGGGGTTCTAGCATCAAGAAGCCGTTTCTAAAATGAGGGATGACTGCCTGACAGGTGCAGGATGTTGACAAGTTCCTTCTCTGGGGACTCATCCCTGCCCTCTTCTAGTTCTGGGAGAATTCAGAGCAAAGGACACATTGTGAAATGACAAAAAAGGCAGGCCCTAAAAGGATCAATTTTCTAACCCATCACTCTCCTGAAATTCCTATTACTTCAAGCATTTCAAAATTCTTCTGGAGTTTTTCTTAGAAAATCCTAACACGGGATGGTGCTAGGGTATCTTGTAGAACAAGAGCAGTAGGCTTCCTGGATATGGGCCCTTTAGAAAAGCAAGTTAGCCCCGCAATCTACATCTCTTCTAGCCAACAAAGAGGTGCGGGCCCTGTTAGCTCAGGCGTGGAGACCCCTCTGACCTTCCCCACACCCCCTGTCCCGTCCACCCCAGACCCCGTGGACTCACTCCTGGAACTTGGGGGAGCAGACGATGGCTATGGACTCAGGCAGCATCATCTGATAGGAGCAGTGAGTGTGCAGGTCAACGCTGGACAGGAAGGCGGTCTGTGTGGGGTGAGTCTGAGAACAGAGATACCAAGTCAGAGAGCCCCTCGTGGGGGACACAGTCAAGCACCCCTCAACTGCTGGCCATGATCTCCTCAAGTACAAAGCCATTCATCGGTTCTCAGTCCTGAGGGGTAAGTCAGGGGTTCATAACTAGTAATAAACCCTCCTCCCAAACCTTGAGTGAGGATCCTTTAACACAAGTAGATTAAGATACATACTTTCTTTCTTTTTTTTTTTTTAAAAAGACACAAACTTTCTAATTGGCTGGAAAGATGGTCACTCCAGTTTCTAAGCCTACATTGTGTCCTTACTGCTTAAGGGCAGGTCTAGATCTCAACCTTACTGAAGGCAGTATCATTGAAACTGAGTTCCCTCAATGTCTCCAAGCATCTTATTTTTTAAAAAAAAAATCTCTATATATCTTCATCTCTCTCCCTTCAATCTTGTAGAAAAATTAGTTTCTCTCACCTATGAAGATGATGAAAGAGACAATGAATAAGGAAGACTGAAGAAGAATGAAGTCTTTGAATTACAGTGTTGTAGAATATCGAATATTCTATGGACTGTCAAAAGAACAAGCAAATCTGTCCTATAGGAAGTCCAACCAGGGTTGGAAGCAAGGATGGCCTAACTTCATCTCACGTTCTTTGGGGATGCTGGGAGGAGGGGTTGGTCCTCAAGATGCTGGGAAAGGTGGGGAGTCAGAAATGGAGAGGAAGCCCTATAACGAGATGGACTAATACAGGGACAGTGGCCTTGACCATGGCAGAGATGGGCAGCATGGTGCAGGACAGGGCAGGGTTTGGTCTGTTAGTCGGAAGGTCACTGTGAGTCACAATCAGCTCGGCAGTGTCTAACAACAACGGGAACATGAACCCTCCATCTGGACTTTACTTTTAACGCTTTCTTCTCTCTACATTAGCTCGTCTTTCCTTTCCTCTTATATCCATCAGCTCCCTCAGCATAAAAAAGCAGTTCAAACAAGTGCACTTAACATGAAGGAACATTAAAAACGTGTGAAAGCAAGACAGAAAAGAGTGCATATGTAACTCCATATATAAAATCCCACACCAGGCAAAACTATAGAGTTTGCTTGCATAAAGTTGGCACACCTGTGTGGACAATGTCCACATACTTTGGACGCCAATGTCTCGCCTGTCAGACGCACCATTCACACTCACAGGAGAAGCAGGGCTTTATGAGAACCTGTGTGAGAGCTGGTGGCCAAGTGGTAAAAAGCTGTGCTGTATCTCAAAGGCTCATAGTCTGAATGCATCAGCTGCCCTGTGAGAGGTCGGGCAGTCTCCGCCAGTGTGATTCACAGGCTCTGAAAACCCACTGGAGGGTCAGCTGTGAGTCAGTTCAGACTTAATGGCACAAACAACAACAACAACGTGTTTTTCTTTTCAAAATTCCCAGAAGTCAGTGATGGGGCCAGCAGTCAGGCATGCTGGCTTGGGACTGAGGCAAAGGGAGGAAGAGAATCGGATGCCGCATGCTTGGCTCCGAGGGAGGCCGGCACATGCACACCCAGAGAAGAGGGCCCCACACGGCTTACGTGAATCCAGCCCAGCGTGATGAGGCCCTGCTGGTCCTGGATCAGGAAGAGCTCTTCTTCATTCTCTGTGTTGCAGTAATCAGACCCAGCGCTCTGCTTCGGGATGAGAACGTGGGTGATGGTAAACTCGTTCCGCATCTGCCAGAGGATAAAGCAGCTAATCGTCACCCCGAGGCACTCACGTGACCCCGGCGCGGCACAGCCATGGCAGTGAACCATATACCCACCCAGCACGCAGCCCTTCCTCATGTCCCCCGGGCCGGGCTCAGCAGTGCCTGGGATGCTGCGCACGAGGCAGCGGCTGAGAGCCTCCCACCCCCCGATGCCCACACTGCATCTGACTCCACTGCCCCGCCGTGGCTCTGACTGCAGCTGGAGGGGTCTGCTCGAGGGAGGCCCGCTGCAAGCCTGAGCGTCGCACCACTTCTTGCTCCTGCTCCCACGCGGAGCCGTTTTCCTGTCCCTGTCTTCTTCTATGCCCTTATCAGTTTCCAAGGCTCTATGTCTACCCACCTCACGTTCTCATCACTGAGGACTGAGCTCTGTAACAATATCAGACCTGCTGACACGGAGGTGCTTCCAGCCCGCAGTGACCCTGCAGGGCCCCGCAGGGCTGCCACGGCCGTCATCTTTACAGAAGCAGCTTGTGCCGTCTTGCTCCCATGGAGCAGCTGGAGGTTCAACCCCAACCTCTCAGTCGGCGGTCAAGAGCTTAACCACTGCACTCCCAGGACTTCTGAATCAGCCCACATGTTCTCTCGATTCCTAGAGCTCATCAAGCTGTGCCCCGTGTGGTGAGTGTCTCCCATCTCTCCCAGGTCCTACTATAAGCACCAACACTACCACGGATGACAGATGTTGCTGTGCGCCCTCCAGCCACAGCCGACCCGGAGCTGACCCTCCAGTGAGTTTTCAGAAGCAGCTAAAGGACGGGAGGACATTGTCCGTCCTCCTCTCCCGGAGCAGCTGGTGCACCTGAGTCAGGCACGTTTGGGGTGACGGCCCAATGGCTTAGCACGAAGCCACCAGGGCTCCCCCCACTGTGTAGGAGGTGTGCTCAAAACCAACAGCGATGCTGCCAGAATGTGTCGACCGAGTGTACAGTCAGGCATTGCTCACGACTGGCACTGGAATGAGGAGCTCTGGTGGTGCAGAGCGGAATGCACCAGGTCTATGGCCAATGGTCAGGTGACCAGCCCCTCTGGGGGGGAGAAACGGGCAGCAACGCCCAAAACAGTCATGGGCCCTGATCTGGTCAGCTAGGGGGCGGCAGCACACAGAACTCTGGGACTGGGCAACCCTCCCGAGTCAAGGGTGGTCGAGGGACAGGGAGTCAGTTTTTACCAGTTTACCACAGAGGATCCCACATGTCTCCACTCCCCGGGCGGTGTTGGCACTGGCTAACTGGAGGAACTGCGGGCAGAGTCGGGCGGGCACCATCACATGGCGCAGGCCGTCAATTGTGGGAGCTGTAAGAGAAAGGGGGTGCCTGAGAGCGCCTGGCAGGCCTCCCACTGACCGCAGGCCAGCGACAGCACTCAGTCCCCAGGGACCCCCCAGTGCAGGCACTGAGCCCTGAGCAGGGAGGTGGCCTCGGGGCACAGCCAAGCAGACAGGGGGCAGGCTTCTCTCACAACTCTCAGCACAGTGGGTGAGAGTCCATGTCTGCAAGCAAACAGGCTTTAATCACCCCAGTTAACTACGACCTTAAAAAAGCCCCCACGATACTCAGGAATCCTCGGTCAGACTGAAAAGAGAAGAAGCCTAGAGCACGTCTTTCAAAGAAAGCGTCAGAGTGGACTTCTGACAGCAGAGAAGGCTGTGAGCAGTCCCGTCCTTCTGAACTCAGGCACTTAGAAGAAAGTGAAGATGCCGAGGAGACAAAGAACAAAAAGACATAGTCTGGTCTATAAAAAGGTGGTGAAAACAGAGCAGTGTGCACAGCTGGCTGGAGAATTCCAAGGGTGGCCCCTGTGCTGAGCAGCACAGAGAAGGCTGAGAGCCAGCAGGCCACAGTGCCCTCCAGCCACGCTCCAGGTCCTGCACGCAGGCCAGTAAGTCCTCAACTCAGCGACCGTGACTGACAACACACCAAGCAGGACCTGTGCTCAGCCTGCAGGTGTTGGAGACTCACACCTTCACGCACGGACGTAAAAACAGGTGAAAGTCTGCAATACCAACTGAATGACATGAATAGCATTAGGGATAAAGAGCTCTGGGAGTTAAGTACAGAATCTACCTGAGGGAGGAAAGGAGACTGAGAAAAACGTTAAAAGCAACAGAGAGGAGAGATTCTAGCACAGGCGAAGCTCCGTGACAGACCATCTGGGAAACGCTGTGGAGCACAAAGGTCCAACCTGACCAGGGCAGGTGGCACAGGGGTGGGAGTAACAGCTGGGGGACCCTATCAGGGACGACGTGGAGAAGAGCCCGAGAGCGCCACCTCAGAGTCTACCTTCCTCTCCTGTCCTACCTTCTTCTCTGCCCTGAAACTGTACTTTGACATACATCTTCTGAAGGCCGAACTCCACAAATGGTCATCAGACAATAGGTTCCTACTGCTTCCCCCATTATTATTCAAATATCAAGGTACCCTCAGACCACCAATCCCTGGGGAGAGGGCGAGAGATTCTCAGTGGCTTTTGGGGCTGGGCTGAGCCATCACCGGCCACACACAGTGCTTCCCTTGAACAAATTCTCAGCTGTCTCTTTAACGGTCTTATGCAAAGTTGTCCTACGAATGTCCAAGTCTGCTCGAATGTCCAAGTCTGCTCGTAGTGGTTTCTAATGGACTTTGCATGTCAAACCTCCACCCAACTCTTAGGACTTAAAGATCTAGTGGAGATGTTAAACAACACTTGAGAAAACTGCCTGGACTTCACGTGAATTACACAGCTTAAGTTAAGGCTACTTTGCCCATTGTTTCTGTGCTGTAACATGGTCAGTGGGACAGGGCACACTACCATACAACGTTATCAAGGGAGTTCTGGTGCCCACAGCTGAATACTGGACTCCGGGAGGGAGTCTTGGGCTGAATCTCCCAGGATGAGGCTGTGTGGCTGCCATGGAGACAGAAGGACACCCACACGTGGACTTACTACTTTCCGAGCTGGTCAGCGCCCCAGGCTTCAAGGACCTGTCCACCAGCGGTGGCTTAGCTGGCCTCACGATTGAGTTACAGTCTGAAGGCTGTGTGGCTGAGGCAGGTGTGGTGGGGAACACGTCTACGGAGGGTCTCTCCAAGTCAGGCACCAGGGGACCGCCGGGGCCCGGGTCCACCTTCCCAAACTCCTGTACTATCTTCAGGCGCTCTTTTTCGAGCTCCTGGTTGCGGATCATCTCCTCGAAGGCGTGGAACTGCTCCTGCTCCAGCTGCTGCTGCTTCTGCTGCGCGACCCTCTGCCTCTCCTTCTCCAGCTCCTGCTTGACGGCCATGCTCTGCGCAAACTCCTCCGCTGCCCTCCTCTACAAAGAGAAAAGCACCAGGCGACGCTGACTGAGCTGCTCCGGAGAACCAGGCTTTTCCGCAGACTGAGGATCAGAGTGTCCGGCTACTCTGGGCTAATGGGTCAGTACAGAATCCACTCCCGCTCAGTGTGTCCACCCTCAGAGCACACACCGCCACCCCTCTAGACTCAGTATACCAACTCTTCAGTCACGGACAGTCAGAGTCCCAGGCTGCCGGGTCCCCTTCTCCAAGGACGATCAGCAATCAACACCTTCTGCACAGTCTACGGACTCTATCGTCTGTGCTCCAGGCCTGTGTCATATGCAGCCTCATCTGGTAACTGTGCCATGCACACATTCTGTATTCCAAATAAGGCTCTAAGACAAGACTAACTCCACGTCTACAAACCCTGGGGGTCTCCACTGAATTTTAACCCCAGATGAAGCCTCTGGGTTTTTCTGGTCATCGGTTCACTACAGAGGGAGGTTTGAAAAGAAAAAAGAAATTGCAACCAGCACGCCCTTCACTAGGCTTTCACTTCCTCAGGACCTAAAATATACGCCTCACTGCTCCTTCCTGTTGACAGTCAACCAGCGCCAGGGCAGGGCCCAGAAGGCCGCTCAAACAGGCATGTGAGCACTTCCAGGACACAAGTCCACGGACAGCATTCTCGGTGCTTCAACACATGGTTTAACTCGAACTCTTCCCCAAGGAGATAATTTTAAAACAGTTCAACAGGGGTAAATTATTATGTGTAACTTCAAGTACAACCAAACGTGACGCAAACACTAAAAGTCTCTCATCTAAAACCCGTGTTTGAGGAAGCCACTTCTGTTGCTCTTAGCATCTTCCTTGAGGTACAACAGAGGCACAGAAGACTGACTGTTTCCCAAAGCACCTTCTCAGGCAAACAGGTTAAACCAGGGCTCCAGTCCTCAGCCTGAACACCCGTGCTCACTAAGGTTCTGCCAGCCTTCTGGGTAAGGAAGTGTGCTGCCAACCCAAAGGCAAGTGGGATGAATCCACCAGCTGCTCCTTAGGGGAAGAAAGACGGGGAGTCTACTTCCACGTGGCTTATGGCCTCGGAAAACCCACTGGAAGGTTCGCTATGAGTCGGTTCTGACCTGACAGCAATGAACTCATATAAAGATATCACAGATACATAAACACTGCTGGCATTTAAAAAGAGCAAGGGGAAGGAGCAGGATCTGCTGAAATATTAAAATCACAGGGTATAGCCTAAGAGAACACAACGGTTTCTTTTTCTTTGCAGGCACACACTGACCTTTTCTTCATTATATTCTGCATATTCTTTGGTGTACCGCTTTAATAACTCTGCCTTCAACTCTTCTGCTTTGGGGAACGCGATCTCCTTTAATTTCTGAGATAGAAAACAAAATACTGAGGATGAGAATAACAGAGGCCTGTCAAGTAGAGAAGAGAACTTAAGTCAAGGCAGGCAGTGTTGATGATGTGACGACATTTACAGACGTGACTTCACGGGCCCTCCACGGTGCCAGGCGGCTGCGGCCTCGCTCACTGCTCTGGTGGGATGCCCAGAGGCACGTGAGATGCCCGACTGCAGACGGGAAGGCTCTTACCGTGGCTTTAGTCTGCACGGCTTTCAAATGTGCAGGCGGGCAACAGGAAGAGGAAGACTCACCTTTACTGTGTCTTTCTTCTCAGGAATGACAGCGGATTTGTAATCTCGATGTTTGGGTAGTTTCTCAATAAAGAGCCTAAGAGAACAGAGTGGAATGATTCCGAGGAAAGAAGATGTTCCAAAGCCCCTGAAGCCGAGACAAGTCCCTTCTGCTGCAGCCTCTGCAGAAAGAGCCTCCAGAGACACGGGGAGGGACAGCAGGCCCCTGGACAGGCCGTGCTCCCGTCCCGCGGTGCTCCCGCCCCGCTGTGCTTCAGTCCCACCGTCACCTCCTATCAAGAAGAGCAGGCGCTCCTCTCACCTTTCAGATCAGGTGTCAAGTGTGCCCTGGACGCCTCAAAAAAAAAAAGGAGGGGGTTGGGCAGAGAGCACGCATATCCTGTACTCAAACGTTGTGAGCATGGAGTCAGAACTGACCCACAGCTGAGCCTCCAGTGGGTTTTCAGAGGCAGTTAATCCCGCGGGAGGAGACTGCCCATCGTCTGCAGAGCAGCTGGTGGATCTGAACCGTGCGCTTTGGCATAGGCAGCACGACTCCTGACCACTAAGCCACCAGAACTCCCTCGTACTCAGATATGTGTCTCCAAAGAGAGACCGTGAACTCGGGACAGCAGTGTTTTCAAAGGCAAGGGCGCTGTCACAGAGCCTTCTTCTGGGCAGTCGGGCGGTGCTGGCCAGGAGGCTAGCCCTGTACCAGGCTCTATTCGGATCCACTGTTGAAACAAGAGAAACGCACACGTGGTGAAGTCTGTGTTTACAGAGCCTGGTGCAGGGAAGCGCCCCTTCTCAGCATCATCCCTCTCAAACACTTGTTTTGGGCTGCAGCCTCTGTAACAAGTCTACGCTCTTCAGGGCCATTGCTAAGAGACTCATTACTTCACTGTCTATAGCACAAACAAGAGCAGGGAGAGGGGAGAGAGAGAGAGAGAGTGTGTGTGTGTGAGTGAGTGTGTGAGAGAGAGAGAGACACACACACACACAAGGGTAGAAGTGAAAACTTTTTATCTTTTTATATTATTTCCAGTTTGAATCATGCCATAAAATCCAGTTTATAAAATTCCCACACTTAACACAGGGATCCTTCCCTAGTTTCAGCAACTGTTGTCAGCTTTCTGAATGAGCAAAAGAGTCGTTTGAAAACAGAGCAGGCCACATAAGTCATGATCCACGTGGAGGGGACAGAGCTTGCAGCTGGGAGGACAGGCCCTGCAGTGGAGTGTCCCCATATTGGCCTGGAGTCTTCACTTTGTCAACCACTCTCTGTGTGACCTCAGCGAGTAACTGAACTTCACTATCCCTCAGTTTCCTTACACAAATACAAACTAATACCACCTGACTGGGTGTCTATGTGGCTTAAAGAGATAACAGGAAGAGAGTGATGAGTACAGTGGCTCACACTCGGCTAGCCCCTGCCATGTGATTACAGGATTTTTATAAATAAGCAAACAGAAAAGTAACAAAGGGTAAGGCATGACAGAACCTGGACGTTAGTGAATAACAAGCTACTGATACTGGTCCATCAGATGTCCCAAAGGGCCACAGTGACGTGCCATGTTCGTAACTGGAGAAGCTACAGAGGCAGGGGCACGCAAGAAGTCTCTGGACTTCCTGCACAATTTCAGTAAACTGAAAACGGCAGTAAAAAACCAAGTCTATGGTTTTTTAAAAAAACGTAGGCAAGAATAAGAGATGCGGATGCCAGGATGAGAGAGGTTCCAGCCACAGAAGAGCTGCGGTCCGGACACGTTATTCTCTGGGGTTAGATGTGCGTGCAGCCGAGAGAGGCTGTGCAGCGAGAGGCAAGGACCCGACGCCGACAGCCCGAGAGCCAGTGGGTAAGGAAGGTACCAGCAGAGACAGAGGCATAAAGGGTGATGCACTCAAGACAGACTGACCCACACTCGTGACGCAGGTGTTCAAACTCAGGGGAAAGGCTATCATCATCCATGAGACCCGCAAAGGTCTGAAGGCAGGTCTACCCCGAGGTGTCGGCAAACGGTTATCTTCACGCACTGCTCCTGGGACTGCAAATGGAGAGGACTTGCATCTTGAGGGTGGGGAGAAGAAGGATGGGAGGCCGTTCTTAGCAACTTAAAACATGAATGCATCTCCTTTAAACTCGACAGTTCCACTCCCGGAATGTATCCATCACACAACCGTACAAACACCTGTAAGGCTACTCAGGACAGCATTGCTCAGAACCCAGGAAAAAGTCAAAGATGCAGAAGAAGAGGTATGCCGTCCACCAGCCTTCTAGGACGTACTCAGCGTCATCTGTGGGTCTGGTATTTGTCTAGAGCTAGGGGAAGACCAAATCCTTTCCCCAAGAGAATGTCCAATACACAAGAGCCAGAGAGAGGACAGAAAAACCGAGACAGGCTATAGAGTGAGTGCTAAGAGAAAAGGGGACGAAGAGGGACTTGAGCGGGAAGGGCTGGTGGAGAGGCTGGCTTTTCAGCTGGGGCAGCCTAGGAAGGCGTCATGGGTGAGGCAGCACCCCTGTAAATAAACCTGTGATGTCATGGAGCCGTGAAGATACCTGCACGAAGTCCCAGGCAGAGCGCAGAGCTGGGAAGTGGGGCGAGATGGCTCAACAAGCTGAGATACGTAAAGACATGACTGCTGAGAAGGCCAGTTGCCCGCTAGCCCGCTGCCCGAGTCCAGTCACGCTGCAGGATGAAAAGCACAGCTGGGCAGCCAAGTACACGGGCATAAACATCTTCCTGCCCGTGCAAAGGAAACCCAGCAGCAGTTACCTCTGGTGTGGGAGGGGGTGGTTCTTTTGATTTTCTGTGACCCCTGCTTGACCATTCGAAATTTAAAAAAAAATCACAAACAAGCATCTGTTTTCTGTGAACATAACCAGTTCAAGCAGGTAAGCAGGAACCCCTAACAAACCAGACCATATATTAGGGACTGCTCTCAGTCTTACTAGTTAACCAGCAAGCCATGCGGCATCACAGACAAAGATGCTGCTGGCCGTACACCCCATCCCACAGTCACACAGGTGACAGATGAGAAGGAAAAGGCTCTGGGCCGGGGAGGCTCAGGCAGGCGAGCGCTGCCTGCAGACTCTGCAGCTCCCTCAATACTGTGCACTCCATGACCATAAAAAGCTGTGAGAGGGCCCACGGTCTGGTTTATTGTCTGTGCTCATCCTGAAAATATGTACTGATTTAATATGCTCGAGACTTTCCTCTCCACTGGGGTCTGCAAAAGGCAAGGCATTTCGATAGTCCAGATCACTGAGGGGGAGACACGCCTGAGCTCACTGCGATGCCTGGGCCGCTCCAGGACGGAGGACAAGCGGGGCGCTTCGGGGCCCAGGGGCGGCATCCACACAAAGCCAAGAGCATCAATTCTCACTTGTCGGGCAGGCGGCTGGAAGGAATGCCAAGCAGAGTCGCTGCCGCTGCTGACACTTCACACCAAGTAAAATGAGGCCGGGAACAGGCCAGGGGAGAGCTGCGGGCACCTCTGAGGCCTGTCAGTTCTTCCAAAGAAAACTAAGACGGCGACATTGTTTCAGGCCAGTCAAAGCGAGCCTCAAATACAACAAGTAAGTGCTAACCCCTCAGGTCAAGTTCATCAAACTGAATGGAACACCTTAAACGGGACACCTTCCACAGAACAACTGTTGCTGCTCTTACATTAACATTCATGTCACTCAGAGCAACACACAATCACAGACCAAGACAGGCTTCAGGGGGGAAAAAACCCAAACGTGGCCACTGAAAATCTTATGACCAGGAGGTGAACCCTGTTTAACACAGGCCAGAAAATGAGTCCTGCAGGCGGGGAGGCCCCGGAAGTTAGATGGGGGAAGAGCTGCCTCCTCAAAGCAGCACCTCCTTTGATGATGTGACCATTATGAAGGCGTCTGGCACTTTTACCTGCTGACGTGCCATCACCAAAAATGCGAAGAACAGGTGCACATGCTCATTTCCATGCACTGAGTATGACTGGAAAAACTGGAAGTTCACACAACAGATCATCAAAAGCTCCGATGCTAGTTCACGATGAAGCTGAAGGAAATGAAAACCACGTCCCCAAAGATGTCTACCTGTGTTTCACTTCATACCCAAAGGCGTTGGGTTTTGTGGCTCACAACATGTTATTGATGGGAAGAATTAAGCACTCCAGAATATTTAATAGTGTTCATGCAGATTCTGTACATAAACCACGAAGAGGTTTTTCTAACAGAACGAGGGGACACTGCCTGGTTTAAAATCAGGGAAAGTGTGCACCAGGGTTGTATCCTTTCACTGTACTGACTCAATCTGTATTTTGGAGAAGCTGGACCATCTGAAGAAGATAGTTGTGTTAGTCCTCGAGGAGGACCCTTTAACCATCTACAAAGAATACAACTTTGTTAACAGTCCAAGATGGACATGAAGCACTTACTGGTGCACATGAAGGCCTTCAGTATCAATTACATTGCAGTGTGAAAAACATAAAAATGCTCCCAACTGATCAATAAGCAACATCATGAGACAGGGAGAAGACGTGGCGTTGTCAGGGATTTCATTTTACTTGGGAACAACACCCACAGAAACAACAGTCAGAAACTCAAACGACACACTGCGTTGGGAGACTGCTGCCAGGGACCTCTGTGAAGTGTGAGGAAGTA